TCTGGATAAATGTTTCTTATAATCTTAGTGTTTGAAGGGCAAAGGCAGTCTTATTACAAAAATATGGGCAAGTATTTAACTGATCCTGAACCTATTTGTATGTTTAATCTTTGCAGCCTCTCAAGGTAGAGTCCTTGTGTTATCTCAGAGTATGAAATCATAATTGTGCTTTGACTTCTGGGGAAAGTATTGAGTAAAAAGCAGCATACAGAGGATTAAGGTTGGAAGGAAGAATAGAAAAGAATGGGGCCCCAAATTTGTGATTTACCCACTCCAAGCCAAGAGAGAAAGCTGGGTGTCATTCTTGAAGGAGCCCACCTCACCCCCACACCCAATTCATGGCCATGTTATGTCAATTTCACCTTGAAATATCTTTTGAATCCATCCACTTCTCTCATCCTCACTGTACAACATGTCACTTGCCTGGATTCCCGACAAAGACCTGATTGATCCTTTCTACTACCTCCTGCTGGGCTTTCTCCACTGGAAGTGGTGATCTGTTTGGGCTCACCATTGTACCCTTAGCTTAGGATCAAACAGAGTGCCTTGCTAAATGAATGGATTTGCATTAGTTATTAAGATGAATATGACCGTGTCTCTGCTCTGCTTAAAATCCTTCTACAGTTTCCCTTGGCCTTCAGAATAAAATCTCCAATCCAACTTCCTCTTGGGACTCTCTTCCCCATTCTCATTTCCAGTCATATGGGTTCCTTGCTGTTCCCCAAACATAGTCAGTTCTTTCCTGCCTGAGGGCTTTGTGGCAGGTGATTTCTCAGCCTTGAAAGTTGTCTGCCCTTACTGTGATTCATGACTACTCATCTGTCTTCTAACCTCAATCAAACCACCTTGTCACATCCTCTCATGGCACTCTCTACACCTTTGGCGCAGATGTCACTGTTTTTACATCAGGGTCTCTGTCTCTCTGGCTATGCTGCAGCCACAGCTTCCTGGCCCAGGACCATGGGTTTGTTGCTTGAAGATACTGGCCCACAGGTAAAAAGCCATATTATAGGGTGACTTAAACATGTCACCTGCAGTACTAGAGACCCAGTTTCTGGCCCCAGGCCCAGGAGATGAGAAGTTGGAAGGTGACAGAACATGGTATGGGGCAGAGAAAAGGAGATCCTGTCTTCATGGCTCAGGTGTTTAACCTAGGCTACTGCTATGTTTTACGTTCGCAGAAACATTAGAATAGGACTCTTATTTTTGTTTTTTGTTTTTGTTGTTGTTTGTTTGTTTGAGATGGAGTTTCGCCCTTGTTGCCCAGGCTAGAGTGCAACAGTGCCATCTCAGCTCACCGCAACCTCCGCCTCCCGGGTTCAAGTGATTCTCCTGCCTCAGCCTTCCTGAGTAGCTGGGATTACAGGCATGCACCACTATGCCCGGCTAATTTTGTATTTTTCATAGAGACGGGGTTTCTCTGTGTTAGTCAGGCTGGTCTTGAACTCCTGACCTCAGGTGATCTGCCTGCCTCAGCCTCCCAAAGTGCTGGGATTACAGGCATGAGCCACCATTCCCAGCCTTAGAATGGGACTCTTTTTAAGCTGACTTCATGTACCACCCACTTATTTGATCCAATGTGAATTGGCCAATGTGATTGTGTCAGTATTTTTAGTTCTATATACACATAATTTGAATCATGACTCAAGATTCTAATTAAGGAGAGAAACTCTTGTAGTTAAACAATAAATAGCTTTAATAGAGTTTTTTTTTCTTTTTCTTTTTTTTTTGGAAGAAATTCTAAGTGGAATGTAGTTTGGGTCTTCTAGTCTGTTCATTTCTTAGGGCAACATTGAATGATAGGATTTTGGAGTAGAAATGGGCTGAGGCCGAGTAATTAAATTGCCTCCATTTAGAGAATGGGTAGACGGAAGTGTGGTTGGTGACATCCAAGGTCAGACTAGGCTAGCGTGAAGCAAAGCTGGAATCCAACCAGACCTTCTGGATTCCAGAACAATGTATTCCCTACTGCTTTATGCCCCCATGTTAAGTATTTAATTAGCATGAGTTGAAACTCCAAGTCAGCAGTTTTTAGCACTGATGAACTCATTATTGTTCTCTGATCTTTTTTAAAGACAAATTTTATGATGTGTCATTCATAGAGCCACATGACCCTGTTTGGCAGAAGGCACTGAGTCAAGCCAGACCCCACTGAGCCTTTGCAAAGGCAGTAAGTGGAGTGGCTAGTTGTGTGCCATCTGCTAGTGAAAGGGAAATGAGATTATTCTAGAAGCCCAGGACTGACTCTAGATCTCTTAAGGTCTCTGGATCTCAAGGACAGCAACCCTCTTATTTATTCTTCAGTTTTATTAGTGTTTCCAGTGTAACAGTGTTACTTCCTCTAAACAAGACACAGCTTCTCTTCCTATGCCAACCTTTCACGTGTCATTTTGAATCAACCCTGGGTTGGTGGAGCCCAGGGTAACCCAACTGTAGTGGACTTTAGAACGTTTTTACACTATGTATTTAAATATGGGTGTGTCTGATATTCGGCAAATTAATTTCAAGCCAAATGATGTGTCACACTCAAAAGCTAGGATGGGCCCAACTGAGAGGCTGCCCTGATTTTCTGAGCGTGACCTGGCTGAATTCCCTCGCCTCTCCTGGCAGAGGACATTTCCCCTTGCTTTCCTCCCACTGCCTGCTTCTCAGCTCGAGCTGGGAACAGTGAGTGTTCAGGTCTTACTGGGTCTCAGAGATTTTTCAGATGGAATGCAAAATGAGAATAAAGGGAGAGCCCTATTGCTTCCCAGCTCTTTATGGTCTCTGGATCTCAAGGACAGCAACCCTCTTATTTATTACTGGGTTTTATTAGTGTTTCCAGTGTAACAGTGTCACCTCCTCTAAACAGGAAACAGCTTATGCCAGCCTTTCATGTCATTTTGGGTCAACCCTGGGGTGGTGGAGCCCAGACAGACGTGGGCCCCCAAACAGCTCTGCCACTTGTTGTGTGCAGGTCACAGAATCTCTGTGACTCAGTTTACTGGTAAAATGGGACTCTTGCAAGCACTGACGTTGAGGTAATACTCATAGGATGACGGTCAATAAATGAGACGATGTTTTTAAATATTAACTAGCTGAAAGACTGGAGGCGTCCCTTCACTTGAGGCGCTGTTTCCTCATCGGGAAAACGACGAAGCTGATCCCAAAGGCCTCTTCAGCCCTTTTCAGCAGACACTCCCGTGGGTCCTCACTCTAAGGCATTCTTGAACATTGAAAACTTGGTCTCCCTTTCACACACCTCTCCTATTCCCCATCTTTTAGTGGTGGTCTAACCCGCCCGGCCATCCCCTTCCCTCTCACTTCTCATAGCCATTTGGAAGCTGCAGATTGCTGAGTTTCCAGGTCTTTAATCTGCGCTCTTTGCCCTTGGCCCGGGGTGAGGGGCCGACCTGTCTCAAGGGAGGCGCACTCCGCGCTAGGATCCATCCTGCGGCGCCCGGGCAGTGGATCTCCAGGTGGGAGACGGGAGGAGAGCGCAGACGTTCCGGCGCCACCCTCGGACCCGCCGGCTTTTCCAAACCTCTTGAGGAGCCCGAGTGCCCTCTCGGCCCGGCGCTGGGAGGCTGCCGGCGGACCTGGGACCGTGCCGGGATTGGGGGTGGTGCGGGTGGTCCTCGCTCGCCGCGGGGAAAGCTAGCCTTGCACACGCAGGCGCCGGGAAGGAGCCCAGACCGAGGGTGCGTGGTCCAGCACCAGGGGCCCTGACCCTGGAACTCCTCGGCCCCCATCGGGCCAGACCCATACGGAGGCCTCAGAGCGGAACCGGGAGACCGCAGCGCCACGCCCTAGGGCGCCACCCTGCAGGCGTGGGCGGGCCCGGGACTGTCCCCGCTGGAGGCGGTGGGGGGATCCAGAAGTAATAAGATGCTAATGGAGCGCGAATAAAGCCCCGGCGGCGCCCCGCGCCCCTCGCGGAAGCCACACTCCGCGGCACTCCAGGCGCACGCCGGGGGCCGCCCCGCGTCCCAGCATCCCCGCCAGATCTCGGCGTTTCCGACCCCGCCCTCCCACCCGCTCAGACCGGGTTACCAGCCCGGCAGGAAGCGGCCCGTCCCGGCCCCGGAGCCGCCGGTAAGTCGTCCAGCGGAGCGGGCTGCGCGCCCCGCGGCTGCGTGGAGTGAGGTGGGGTGCGCTTCCGGGGAAATGCGGCCGCGGGCGCTCGGGAACCATGCCTGGCAGGTTGGGCAGGTCTTCCCTCAGCCCAGCCTTGCTCACCCCGCGTCCGGACTTTGTCGTCGAGAGTGTCGGGGACCCCCACTGCTGTCGCCCGCGGACCAGCTCCCTCTCCATCCTTTCAGACCGCTCCACCTCTCTCACAGCCTTTGTCCTGGCGTTTCCAGGCTGAGTCGCCCGTTTCTTCCCTTTCGCCGAGGTCTTCCTCCTTCCACTCTCCACCCCCAAGAAGGATCTTTGCCCTTCCGTCTTAAGATTCCGTGTGCCTTCGTCCGGGCGGCCCGCAGCGGGAGGCTTTCATCTCTTGTCTCGGCGCGGCGGGCTGGGAACGGAGGGGCAGCTGGAGGGTGGAGGGGCCAGAGCCCCAGAGACTTGCCCCCGCTGCTGCCACTCACCCTCCCTAACGCTGCCATGAACACCCGCCTCCTCCATACCCTCTGATCCCTTCCGGGCCCCGCGTGAGAAACCCCCTCGGGCACTCTTCAGGTGGCGTGGGAGGGGGCGACAAAGCGAGGCCTTGTCTCCGGAGATTCTTGGGAGAGCGCGCCCGGGTGCACAGGGGGCGGGGCGGGGTCGATCGGGGAGGGGGAGCCTAGGAGGGGCGAACCCGGCTGCAGTCGACCCCCAGCCCTACCCACGGCCCCCTGGAGCAGGGCACATTCACAGAGGAAGTGTTTTGACCACAGTGCATCAGAAATAGACCCAGGCCTCTGTTCCCCAGTCAGTCGCAACATCCTCCTGCCGTTTGTTGAGGTAGTTTGGTGGTGGGAAGTGGAACCCACGGACAGAGGCTGTTTCTCTGTCAGGAGGCAAGCACGAGTGCTGACGAAAACTTTGCCCTTGCCATGAGGCACTTCTCACACCCAGCGTGGCACTGAGGCCATCGAGGGGCGCCCGGCACAGGACGTATGGAGGGAGATGGGGCAGGATACGTGCGCAGCAGCTGGGGTCGTGGGTATCAGATCTGTCCATGTGTTGCATACAAAGGCAGCTCTGTCCTCTCCACATCTAAGAAGTCCCCCCACGCCCTGATTCCAAGGCCTAAGGAAGGCAGGCTAAGAATTCCTACCCAACGGCTTGGAGATCCCTGGACAGGGAGGCTGAGCTGGAGGCTCCCCTGGTGTCCCATCTGCCCTCTGTGCCCAAGACTAATGTTTTTCACTTCCAAATTTGGCAAATTTCACTTGGGTGTGGACGGGATAGCAGCTGTCTCTGGAGCAGATGCTGGCAGGGGAGTGGGCTGGGAGGAGCAAAGCCAATCACTGGTGAAGCCCGAGTTCCCTGGGGACACCAGCCTGCTCTCTTCACCTCCCTTTCTTTTTTTATTTCTTCTGTTCTCCAGCCTCTTCCCCTTCTTTTTCCACCTCTCCAGCCACTTGCCTCTGCCCAGCTGCTGCCCTCCCCGGGAGCCCCAGGGAGGCCTCCATGGCTTCACCCACCTCCACCAACCCAGCGCATGCCCATTTTGAGAGCTTCCTGCAGGCCCAGCTGTGCCAGGACGTGCTGAGCAGCTTCCAGGAGCTATGTGGGGCCCTGGGACTGGAGCCCGGTGGGGGGCTGCCCCAGTACCACAAGATCAAGGACCAGCTCAACTACTGGAGTGCCAAGTCACTGTGGACCAAGCTGGACAAGCGAGCAGGCCAGCCTGTCTACCAGCAGGGCCGGGCCTGCACCAGCACCAAGGTGGATACACAGTGCCTGGGATGGGGTGTGGAGAATGGGGGGAGTCAGAGGAGGGACAGGATGCCATGCCCTCACTGCCTTGTGTGTTCACAGTGCCTGGTGGTGGGTGCCGGACCTTGTGGGCTGCGGGTCGCTGTGGAGCTGGCACTGCTGGGTGCCCGAGTGGTGCTGGTGGAAAAGCGCACCAAGTTCTCTCGCCACAACGTGCTCCACCTCTGGCCCTTCACCATCCACGACCTGCGGGCACTTGGTGCTAAGAAGTTCTACGGGCGCTTCTGCACTGGCACCCTGGACCACATCAGTGAGCACCACGTGGTGGCCTGGAGGGGCGGGTGAGCCTGGGCTTATAGGCAGGCCAGTGGGGAAATGCTGGGCCAGCCAAGAGTCAAAGTGGACAAGATCCATATCAGCCAGGTGACCTTGAAGATTCAGGTCCCCCATCTATAAGTGGTCTTTTAGGCTGAGTGATCGCTACGACCTTTTCCAGTCTGACCAGGCACACACTGGTACATGGAGAGCTTGTGCTGCCCTAGGGTCCCTGTTCCTAATGTCCTCTCCCTTCCAGGCATCCGGCAGCTCCAGCTGCTTCTGCTGAAGGTAGTATTGCTGCTGGGGGTGGAAATTCACTGGGGTGTCACTTTTACTGGCCTCCAGCCCCCTCCCAGAAAGGGTAAGTATTTCTATGCTTCCTGGAACCTCCCCCTCCCCCATCAAGAACTTGGCCAGTATCTGAAAAAGGGTGGGCCAGGAGTGGCCTTTTTTGTTTTTGTTTTGTTTTGAGACAGAGTCTTGCTCGCTCTGTCACCCAGGCTGGAGTGCAGTGGCACAATCTCGGCTCACTGCAACCTCCGCCACCCAGTTTCAAGCGATTCTTCTGCCTCAGCCTCCTGAGGAGCTGGGATTACAGGCATGTGCCACCATGCCCAGCTAATTTTTGTATTTTTTTAAGTAGAGATGGGGTTTTGCTATATCAGCCAGGCTGGTCTCGAACTCCTGACCTCAAGTGATCCACCCGCCTCGGTCTCCCAGAGTGCTGGGAATACAGGTGTGACCCACCACGCCAGCTAGGAGTCTCCTTTTCTTTTTTTTTTTTTTGAGACGGAGTCTCGCTCTGTTGCCCAGGCTGGAGTGCAGTGGCCGGATCTCAACTCACTGCAAGCTCCGCCTCCCAGGTTCATGCCATTCTCCTGTCTCAGCCTCCCGAGTAGCTGGGACTACAGACGCCCGCCACCTCGCCTGGCTAGTTTTTTGTATTTTTTAGTGGAGACGGGGTTTCACCAGGTTAGCCAGGATGATCTCATCTCCTGACATCGTGATCCGCCCGTCTCGGCCTCCCAAAGTGCTGGGATTACAGGCTTGAGTCCTTTTCTAATAGTGTGGCCTTGGGCAAGCAACTCTGAGCCTCAGGTTGAGCATTTGCAAAACAAGAATAGCACTTCCTTCCTTACCTGCCTTCCATGGCTGCTGTGCGGGTATAATCTGATAGATAATATATCATTGCTTTCTAAACCAGAGAGCCCTTTATACATGTTTTGATGATTTCACTAGCTTGCCCTGAGAGTATAGGGGCTCTTACGACTTCTACACCTTTGTGCCTCTCATACCCCCTGCCCCAGGGAGTGGCTGGCGTGCCCAGCTCCAACCCAACCCCCCTGCCCAGCTGGCCAACTATGAATTTGACGTCCTTATCTCCGCTGCAGGAGGTAAATTCGTCCCTGAAGGTGAGTGATCACTTCCCTCAAAGAAGCCAGCATCTCTGGCACTTCCTGGGCCTTTCTAGATTGTTATAACACCCTCCTCCTGCCATTGTTCACCTACCGCCACCTCTAGGCTTCAAAGTTCGAGAAATGCGAGGCAAACTGGCCATTGGCATCACAGCCAACTTTGTGAACGGACGCACCGTGGAGGAGACACAGGTGCCGGAGATCAGTGGTGTAGCCAGGATCTACAACCAGAGCTTCTTCCAGAGCCTTCTCAAAGCCACAGGTCAGGGACCCTCTTGCTGAATTTCCCCTCCCCTTGCCTGACTGTGGCCTGGCTCCTGCCTCTCCCTTCCAAACCTGTCCTCGCTGCAAGGAACTCCACACTTTTCTGTTTTTTGGTCTCAGCCGCAAAGGAGAAGGAAACTGTCCTGTCAGGGATTAAGCAGGCACAGCCCTAGTTGACCACCCAGCATGAAAAGTCCTGGAATCTCTCAAAGATGAACTGTGTATGGGAGTTTTGCTTAAGTGGTGCTTCAAGAAGATGCCTGTGTTTACTTTGGCTTCGCACTGCCATGTGACCAGGTGGTGCAGGTCTCCCAAATGCCATCCCATCCAAGCTTCCCTCTTTGCTCTAAGCCCTCAAGCCTCCTGGGCCTGGGGCAGATGGTTGTTTGTGTCATCAGGACTCACAGGGTTCTATGTGTGGAGCACTCACTGCAGCCTAAGCTGGGATCCCAGCTCAGAGGTCTGGCCATGTTGGGATGTTTGGGGAAGGTGATACATTATCAGGAGACATATCTCCTCTCCCCTGCCCTGTACCCCCAGGCATTGATCTGGAGAACATTGTGTACTACAAGGATGACACCCACTACTTTGTGATGACAGCCAAAAAGCAGTGCCTGCTGCGGCTGGGGGTGCTGCGCCAGGTGAGGCCCAGTTCTGGCCGGGAGAGGCTGGGTGGTGAGCCCCGGGAGGCAGAGGCTAGGCTTGGACATAGTCGACACCTGGGTGTGGGGACCCCATCCTCTCCTGCCTTTGTCCTGGCATTAATTTCACCTCTAAAAGTTCTCTCGGCCAGGCATGGTGGCTCACGCCTGTAATCCCAGCACTTTGGGAGGCCGAGGCAGGTGGATCACCTGAGGTCAGGAGTTCAAGACCAGCCTGGCCAACATGGTAAAACCCCATCTCTACTAAAAGTACAAAAATTAGCTGGGTGTGGTGGTGGGCGCCTGTAATCCCAGCTACTCGGGAGGCTGAGGCAGGATAATCATTTGAACCTGGGAGGTGGAAGTTGCACTGAGCCAAGATTGTGCCACTGCACTCCAGCCTGGGCAACAAAATGAAACTCTGTCTTTAAAAAAAAAAAAAAAAAGTAATTTACCCTGGGATTTACAAGGCAACAGAAATCATATTCTGGGCTAAACACCTTATACCAGCCACAGTAGATATGTGTCAGCTCCCTGAGGACAGGCATTTTTGTCTCTTTGTTGCTTGCTGCTAATTGCCAGTACCTGGAACAGTGCCAAATACATAGTAAGCACTCAGTATGTGTTTGCTGAATGAATGAATTCAGCAATGTGCTAGATACTGTGTTTAGAGTTACATTTGCATTGTCTCATCTAATTCTCATGAGTACCCTGATAAATTAGGCATGTTGTCTCTAAGTGATGGACAAACTAAAGCTCTTGAGTTTGTGGCAAGTATATGACAGTAGTGATATAGGCAGAACAGCCTGGGACCCCAGCAGCAGGGTGAGTGCTGAGGAAGGGGCTTTGAGAATTCCAGGCTACTGGAATTCTAGTCCCAGCTCAGCCTTCAACTGCTGTGTAGTCTAGGGCAGCCCCTTCCTTCTCTGGGCCCCAGGATGTGCACCTTCTGCGCCCAAGGGGGCGGCACTGGCCCACTGACCCTGCTCTCAGAGGTCTCTGAGGTTCTGCTCTGTTGACCATACAGGACTGGCCAGACACCGATCGGCTGCTGGGCAGTGCCAATGTGGTGCCTGAGGCTCTGCAGCGCTTTGCCCGGGCAGCTGCTGACTTTGCCACCCATGGCAAGCTCGGGAAACTCGAGTTTGCCCAGGATGCCCACAGGCAGCCTGATGTCTCTGCCTTTGACTTCACAAGCATGCTGCGGGCAGAGAGTTCTGCTCGTGTGCAAGAGAAGCACGGCGCCCGCCTGCTGCTGGGACTGGTGGGGGACTGCCTGGTGGAGGTGAGGGGTTCAGGAGGCACAGGAGTTTCATGGTTAGGGGAGGGAGGTTAGCCTAGTATGGAGGAGGGGATACAAAGGTCTGCCTGTGGAGGGGAGGAGCTAAGGGCTGCCTGGTGTGGGGACAGCCCCTTCTGCTGTGATCTTGGTGGGTGTCTGGGCTTGGGATGCACCTGTTGGATTCTCCCTGAGCTACTTCCTATTCCTCTGACACTGCAGCCCTTCTGGCCTCTGGGCACTGGAGTGGCGCGGGGCTTCCTGGCAGCCTTTGATGCAGCCTGGATGGTGAAGCGGTGGGCAGAGGGCGCTGAGCCCCTAGAGGTGTTGGCTGAGCGGTGAGACCTGAGTTGAGGGGGGTATGGGCAGGGCAGGGCAGGACATGTGACAAGGCTCAGGAAGAGGGGAAGGGGTGCTGGGTGAATAGATGGAGGAAATAGGCAGAAGGCCTGGCAGTTCCTGAGGGATGGGTGCTGACAGGTGCCCTCCCATTCATGCCCCTGCCCCTTACCCTCACCCCCTCAGTGAGAGCCTGTACCAGCTTCTATCACAGACATCCCCAGAAAACATGCATCGCAATGTGGCCCAGTATGGGCTGGACCCAGCCACCCGCTACCCCAACCTGAACCTCCGGGCAGTGACCCCCAATCAGGTCAGACCCCCGGCACCCCCACCAGGCTTCCCAAGCCAACCCCCTCCCCCGAGGTCAGGCCCTCCCTGCCCAGTCACTGCCCTTTGGGGTCAATCCTACCCCCAGCAGGCCCTTACCCCTGGACTGAGGGGCTGTGTGGCCAGCCTGCCTTGAGACCTGAGCAGGGCTGCCTTAGGTACGAGACCTGTACGACGTGCTGACCAAGGAGCCTGTGCAGAGGAATGACAAGACAGATGCAGGGATGCCAACCACCGGTGAGCAGACCTTCTTCCTGAGCGGTGACCAAAATATGTACTACCCAGCGAGGCCTAGGTGGTCCCCGCAAAGCAGCTGCAGCCTCAGGAGAGGAGCAGCGTGCCGGAGCACTCGTTGTTGCTGGTGGGTTGGTTGGGGGCCTGCTGGAGGAACAGAGGGGCAGCACCGCACAGGCAGCAGCTGGCTGCCAGTCTGAGTGGAAGTGCTTCAGTGTTTTAACCACCGCTACAGCCACAGTGGTGCTGGCAATCTCCCCTGCTCCCAGTTTAGTCTGCTGCCCTCTACGTGGCCAGTTGCGATTTCACTTTATTCACTCCTCTACTTTATTCCAAAGATTTTTTAAAAAGAGAATTGGGATGAAGGAGGGCTGCTGACAGTGAGCTTTAGGCTGGTGCTCTAGTAGAGGTGGGTCCCTGGCTCCTTCTCCCCTACGGAACCCCCACACCCAGCAGCTGGGCTCCCTATATGCCTGGGATGGGCAGAGGGGACCTTGGGCACAGCGCAGCCTTCTCTCCCAGGGTCGGCAGGCGGGTCGGCAGGCACCCAGGAGGAGCTGCTACGCTGGTGCCAGGAGCAGACAGCTGGGTACCCGGGAGTCCACGTCTCCGATTTGTCTTCCTCCTGGACTGATGGGCTAGCTCTGTGTGCCCTGGTGCACCGGTTGCAGCCTGGCCTGCTGTGAGTCCCTGGCAGACCCACCTCTCTCTCATGATCTCAGTGTAGGAGTTAGCACATCCAGCTGAGTCCTAGAGACAGTGTGCTTCCTTGCATCTGCCGACAGTCTTGTGAGACTCTAATGCATTCAGATAGTGGAGAGCTTTGTGAATGGCACAGGCCCCCAAAGCCAGTAGTGTCACTGGGTTGGGCACTGGGTAGCAGAGACCGCACACCTACCTTCAAGCCTTCTTGTACCCCAGCCACTGCTTGCTGTCCCTCCCCTCCTGCTGCCCCTTCTCCCCTCAGTGGGGCTAGGTTCTTGTCTCTATTTGGCTTTTCTCCCTGACACCCCACAGGGAACCCTCAGAGCTGCAGGGGCTGGGGGCTCTGGAAGCAACTGCCTGGGCACTAAAGGTGGCAGAGCATGAGCTGGGCATCACACCGGTGGTGTCTGCACAGGCCGTGGTGGCAGGGAGCGACCCACTGGGCCTCATTGCCTACCTCAGCCACTTCCACAGTGCCTTCAAGAGCACGGCCCACAGCCCAGGTGACTTGAAAGGAAGGTGGGCAGGATAGGTGGGATGGGGAGGTGTCTGTGTGTGTGACAGAAAGAGGGAGAAGGCACCCTCTGAGGGCCAGCTTGGGAGAGGTGTCCTTCTGGGTTGGGGAGTGACTGTCTGTTCTAGGGGTACAGTGTTGGCACCCCCATCCACACTGATGCCCTGGCTCTCCCTGCAGGCCCTGTCAGCCAGGCCTCCCCAGGGACCTCCAGTGCTGTATTATTCCTCGGTAAACTTCAGAGGACCCTGCAGCGATCCCGGGCCAAGGTGAAGAGTGGAGGCAGGGCTGGAACTGAGCAGGGAGGAGTGGGCAGGGGGGTACCCAGTGGAGATCCTGGAGTGATGGTGAGGACATTCAGAAAGTGGCAAGGACTGGGGGCTCAAAACGTCACACTCAGAGCTGTTAGGACTTATTGCAGGAAAATGCAGAGGATGCTGGTGGCAAGAAGCTGCGCTTGGAGGTAAATGCAGGCAGGGGCGGGTGGGTCTCCTACCCCACATTTTATCCCCTTTCCTGATACTGTCTTCACGATTTCTCATCGCCCCCATCCAGCCTCCCTGCCTAGTCTCACTCCCCTTCCCTTCAGCCCCTTCTGTTCATCTGTACGCATCCCCTCCCAGCTGGCCCTGCCCCTCTACCCTCCCTGCCTGAGCACTTACCTCCTTAGATGGACGCCGAGACCCCAAGTACTGAGGTGCCACCTGACCCAGAGCCTGGTGTACCCCTGACACCCCCATCCCAACACCAGGAGGTGAGAGCCAGGGCCTCGTGTGCAGGCAGAGGCCTGGGGAGGGCAAGGCGGGGACGTTTCATGGGAGGGAAAGAACTTTGGAGCTGGCCTTGGCTCTGCCTGACCCCGTGTCCTGGGGGTCCATGTAGGCTGGTGCCGGGGACCTGTGTGCACTTTGTGGGGAACACCTGTATGTCCTGGAACGCCTCTGTGTCGACGGCCATTTCTTCCACCGGAGTTGCTTCCGCTGCCACACCTGTGAGGCCACACTATGGCCAGGTGGCTACGAGCAGCACCCAGGAGATGGTGAGTGGGCCTGGGAGACTTCCAGAGAGACTCTTGGCCTGGTCCTGCCTGGGGGACAAAGAGCTTGAGGTAGAGGGGCACAGGGTGGAAACAGGCTCAAGATGGCACTTCGTTCTCCTGAGCTCAGGGTCTTCTCTATCCCCTCCAAAGCTCCAGATACGTGGTTCTGAGGAACAGGAGGCTGGCAGAAATTCACCTGCAAATCTGTCTTGTTTTCCCCACCTTCCTTCATAAACTTGTTGCGTGTCTGGGCACTGGGCTGCCCACACCAGATGCCTCCTCTCTCTACCCTTTCCAGGACATTTCTACTGCCTCCAGCACCTGCCCCAGCCAGACCACAAAGAAGAAGGCAGTGATGGAGGCCCCGAGAGTCCGGTAAAGACTGTGAAGGCATGTGTGTGTACTGGGGCATGGGAAGAGGAAGAGGGTCTCATCAAACCAGCGCTCTGCTGGGGGTAACTGAGTGTCTTTCTCTACTAGCATGTAAGCTCTGTGAAGGCAGGGATGCCTGTCTGCTTACACTTCTTGTTCTCTCAAGTATCTAAAACACAGCCGGACACTGTTCGTAAACAGTTTTAAGCAAATGAATGCCAAGGCTCACTTTTGCTCCAAAGGGGTAGCCTCACCCCGCAACCTCACCCCACCCTGGGCAGGTCACTGACCAGACCACATGGTGGCTTTTCCAGGAGCTCCCCACACCAAGTGAGAATAGCATGCCACCAGGCCTCTCAACTCCCACAGCCTCGCAGGAGGGGGTCGGTCCTGTTCCAGATCCCAGCCAGCCCACCCGTCGGCGGATCCACCTCTCCAGCCTAGAGCGCCAGCGGTTGTCCTCCCTTAACCTTACCCCTGACCCGGAAATGGAGCCTCCACCTAAGCCCCCCCGCAGCTGCTCCGCCTTGGCCCGCCACGCCCTAGAGAGCAGCTTTGTGGGTTGGGGCCTGCCAGTCCAGGGCCCTCAAGGTAACTGCCATCCTCGCAGATGTGCTGACCCAGGATGGGACAGGGTGGGAGCATTGTCTTCCTGCAGAGGAATTCTGGGGAATACAGAGGGAAGTTGTGGGGATCCCAGGCCGTGCCAGCCTCTCCTCTGCTCCATTCTTCTCAGTTCCTCCCATGCCCCAACACACACATTCAGTCTTTACCAGGCTCGCAGGGCCTCCATCACCACCATGCTCTCTGTTGCCTGACTGGGGCAGGTGCTGGAGGCAGTAGAACTTCTCAGTTCTTCTTCTTCTCAGCTCTTGCGGCCATGGAGAAGGAGGAAGAAGAGAGTTCCTCCTCCAGTGAAGAGGAAGAAGATGTACCTTTGGACTCAGATGTGGAACAGGTGAGTGGGCCAGTGTGCAGCCACGAAACGCTCTCCAGGCCACTGCAGGAGAAACCTGCACTGCACTCCATCCTCTGTACCCTTCTCTTGGAATGTCTTCTCACTCAGCCTGTCATCTCTCTGGCCTCCACCTTTTCTATCAGAGATTACCCCACTTCCAGCACGGGTTCTTTTCTGCCTTTCCAAACAACACTTCTATCCACCAGGGGGCCCAGGCCCTATCCCTGACTGGCCTGATCCTCCCATAGGCCCTGCAGACCTTTGCCAAGACCTCAGGCACCATGAATGACTACCCAACATGGCGTCGGACTCTGCTGCGCCGTGCGAAGGAGGAGGAGATGAAGAGGTTCCGCAAGGCCCAGGTGAAGCCCAGGGGTTCCCAAAATTCTGATGGGGTCAAAGTTCTGAGTTCCTCCAGTGCTCTGTTCTTGAGCAACCCAGAGACTCCTGGGTATCCTCTCTTGTACCCCTCAGACCATCCAACGGCGACTAAATGAGATCGAGGGTGCCCTGAGGGAGCTAGAGGCCGAGGGCGTGAAGCTGGAGCTGGCCCTGAGGCGCCAGAGCAGTGAGTGACAAGCTAGGACACCCCTCTGCCTCTAGCACTGTGTTGAGCTCCACGCTGCAGCCCATAGGAGTCCCAGCGGCTGTGCCACACAGCTAACACATGCCTGTGACACCCTGCTCTCCTGTGGCCCCTAAGCCTGTGACTCCTTCGGTGCTGGCTGGAAACCTCCTGACCACCCCACCCATCTTCCTTCTTCTCAGGTTCCCCAGAACAGCAAAAGAAACTATGGGTAGGACAGCTGCTACAGCTCGTTGACAAGAAAAACAGCCTGGTGGCTGAGGAGGCTGAGCTCATGATCACGTAAGGGGAAGGGGATGGTGACAGTGGTCCTCGGGCCAGGCTCCAAGCCCTTGGGCACCCTAGACAGCTCTGCTTCTACAATCCCTGACCTCCACAGGGTGCAGGAGTTGAACCTGGAGGAGAAACAGTGGCAGCTGGACCAGGAGCTACGAGGCTACATGAACCGGGAAGGTAGGTGAAATGTGGGGAGAGGCAGACACATCCCAGGGTTGTGTCATGCAAGCCTCATGATCTCAGATACTGATCAAGCAGCATGGTCCCTTCTCACTTCAGTTCAATCAGAGCTGCACAGTTGGCTTTTATACAAGATCTCCTTTAAAAAAATGGTGCTGCTCAGTAGTGCTAGAAAACCACTGGTGTTGACAACCGTCCTAATTTGGCAGCTTAGGAAACAAAGCCCGGGTTATAGAAATCACATAGGCTGGGATTAGGCTGTGGCTCTCCTACTTCCCTGCCTAGTTCCCTGTTCTCTGAGCTTTGTCTCCCCCGTTTTAGAAACCCTAAAGACAGCTGCTGATCGGCAGGCTGAGGACCAGGTCCTGAGGAAGCTGGTGGATTTGGTCAACCAGAGAGATGCCCTCATCCGCTTGCAGGAGGAGCGCAGGCTCAGCGAGCTGGCCTTGGGGATAGGGGCCCAGGGCTAGAAGAGGGTGGACTGTCTGCTTTCGTTCTCACAAGGAAAACCCCTCACCCCAGCACAGTGCCACCCCTGTTCATCTGGGCTGCCTGGCAGAGAGCCTTGCTGTTTACAATTAAAATGTTTCTGCCACAAACAGGGCTCACACTGCCTACAGGTGGGAGGTGGGGGCGTGTATGGGGACAGGAGATGTGTAGGAGCCTAAAGGTCTGTAGTGTGACAGTCACACTGACCCCTGGCTCCCATTGCCTCTACAAGTAAAAAGGCAGAGCCACTAAAGTGCCAAGCTTTATTGTTCTTTAGTTCTGTCCCCCTCCTGCTGCCCCAGGAGTAGGGCTGGCTGAGGCTCTGGGCCCAGGTCCTGGGCCTCACTTGCCCTTCCTAGCACATGCTGGAGCTCAGCGTGGGCCCTATATAAGCCATTGACCTCCTGCACGTGGAAGAGGTAGAACGCACCTGCCCACAGCACCAGCCCTACGCTGGGGGTCCAGAGCAGTATGGCAGCTTCCCTGGCCCCTCCTCCAGCCGCCAGGACACACAGCAGTGCCAGGAGAAGCAGCCCCAGGCCAATCACATAGCTAGCGAAGGCAGCCCACCAGCGAGCCTGAGCCATGCCCAGACCCAGCTCCGTCCAGGCCTCCTTTAGCACACTCATCAACGGCGACCTCTCTGCTGGTCCTACAACAGGGCAGGGCAGTGGGGCAGGAGAGAGTCAAGAGTGGAAGGGCTGCTTCAAGTGGGGCAAGGGCCAAGTTAAGGGTGGGGGTGACTCACTGTGGGTAGAGTTGGGGCTCTGCTGTGGGGGGCTGTGCCTCACAAACAGAGTAGCCATCAGGGCTTCATGATCAGAGAGGGGGGTGCCACTGTAAGGGTCGTTGCCTGTAGTGGTTTCAAGACTCTTACAGGAGATGTAAAACCCGGAAACTGCCTAGGAAAAGTAAGGGCCAGAGAGAAGCTTATATATGAGGGCCTCTTCCCAGAGAACCAGCTCCTGGCTACCCCGCTTTCCAACCATCAGTGGTCCAAGACTAGACTAGTTGAGCAAAGGATCTATACAGGTTGGTGGTAGACAGACACAGTGGATGAAAGTATGTTGAGGGGAGGAGCCCAACCTTGTAAAGCATGTAGTCAATGCGGACACCAAAGGGAAACGGCTTCAGCTCCTGCTGGTTGACGTAGCAGTTCTTGGGTACCATGGTGTTGCCTTCTTCAGAGCCCTAAGGGAATCACTGGCTCATACTAGGATGTAGGGGAGGAGGAGGGAGAGAAGCTGGGGATATAGGTGGGGAAGTAACAGGCAAGTCCTCTCACCTTGAAGTCCCGAGTTTCAAGGTAGGCATCACGGAGCCCTGTCCACTCCTTCAGCAGGCAGCAGCCCAGGTCTTCCGGGTGCATGTTGAGGTCTCCACACAACAGAACCACGTCTGCCTTCTTGGATGTGTGGCTGGGGGAACCATGTTGGTGAGGCGGGAGTTCTTCCCTCACCAGCTCTTCCCCATGACTGGGGCCTTGTTCACCCCCAGCCCCTGGGTCCCATCCCACTTCCCCGTTCAAACCCAGGCTCACACACTGGATGAACTGGGCCAGTTCCCAAGCTTGGGCCACGCGATGTGCTAGGTAGATGTCCTTCCGTCGATTGTATTCGGCATGGAGCTGAGCAAGACAGATGAGATCACAGCAGATAAGACTGAGGGTCCCAGGGGTATGTCTGAATCAAGCCTGTGTCTGTCACTTGGCATGGTGTTGGGTATAGAATGGATAAGCCTTGCCCATTGCTTCCTTATAAGATCTTGCCCCCACACCTCACCCCCAGGCATTAGAGCTAGAGGAGTACCATCTCTCCGTCCCAGGACTGGGCTGCATGTCCCAGCCCTAGGCACTGCCAGCTTCACTCACATGGGTCACATAGGCGTTGAGCACCATGCCGCTTAGATGGAGCACCAGCAGCCCCACAGCCTTCCCACTGAACCAGTCACCATGATGGATCTGCAGGCAGGAGGAGACAGAAACTCAGGGCACCACCACCGTCTTTCTGCCCATCCCCTGCAGCTCTCAGAGGGCTGCCTCCTGTACCTTGTATTACTGGAGGTGGGGAAGGGAGGTGGAAGAGGTCAGAGGTCTGGCTTACCATGTAGGGGTAGCCATTGAGGGTGTAGACGTGCTGGGTGAGCTCCTGGATTGGGTGTTTGGAGAAGACACAGAGGCCACTGCCAATGATTCCGCTGAAAGCCAAGCCCTGCTTAATAACCAGAAAAACAGGAAGAGACACCCAGCCCTCTTCCCCTCCCTTGTCTTCCAGCTTTGATCAGCTATTTTTTTCTTTTTCTACTGCTGGGACTAGCCCTAGAACAAAGGCAACAGCCTTTGGAGGAGTATACGGCAGCCAGAAAACAAAGCTGAAATGGGCTGAAGTCATAGGACCTTCTTGGTTCACCCTTCCCCTTCTCACATCCAGAGGGAGAGAAGGCTGGAGGAGACTGGAGGGTGCAGGCAGGATAGGGAAGGGCTGGCAGGGCCAAGAGCCTCCTGGGATGAAAACAGGCTTCAGGCCCGTGGGCTTCTCACCTCCGGAAGTGGTGTGCAGCTGGGTAGGTAGGTGACAGCTTCTGTCTCAGGTACTGGAAGTCCTGCTCACTCCACACCTAAGGGAGGCGGTAAGGATGTCTGCCTGGCCTTTCCCCAGGGGGAGGATCTGCCCCCAGGTGCCCTCCTTCCAGCCTGGGTTCCACATGGTGCTGCACAATCTCACCTCCTCCAGCAAAGCCAGGTCGAAGCTCTCCTGGTTCAGAAAGTCGCCCAGGCGCCTCATGCGGTCGGCCCGGTGCTTGCTTAAGTAGGGAATGCCCCTAAGGAAGGGAAGAGCGAGGCAGGTGATGTGACCGCTGGGACCACCAGCGCTGGGGCCAGATGTGGACTTTGGAGGTTCGGGTTCCCCTACACCCTGAGATCGTGGCGCGGGATGGGGTGAGGAAGGCTGCATGGGTGCGAACGGAAGGCGGCCCCCAGACCGCATTTCGTGGACGCGCTCACCAGCAGTTGAGGTTGAAAATCCGCAGTCGCAGGGAGAAGTTGGGCTTCATGTCTGGGGCACTCCAGGGGCGCAAGGCGGCTCTAGCTCCCCAGCGACGGCCGCGGTGGGGACGGGGGCGGCCGGCGGCGCCTTCTCCCTGGCCCGTTCCTTCCTCGCAGGCGGCGCGCACAGGTGGGCACCAAGCTCGCGCGGCTCAGGCCGGGCCCGACTCCCGCGTTCCCCCGACAACCGGCCGGCTGGTTCCAATCAGGCGGGCCGCCAACCCGGAAAGACGATCCGCTGCCGAAATCCGGGTGCCCAAGCTCGGCGAGGGCCGCGCGCCAGGCCCCTGGGGGTCCGCAGAGCGCCCCCAGGTGGGCGGCTCCCGGTTCCTTTCCCTCTAAGCTCGTCCCCGGCCGCCGCCGCCCGCGCGCCGGCGGCCCAGCAACAGGCTCAAAGTTGAGGAAAGGCCGGGCCGCCACGGGCCGCCCTCGGCCCCGCCCCTGGGCCCCGCCTCCTGCGAGCGGCGGAGGCGGGGCCGCGCAGTTGCCGGAGCGACGCGCAGTGTTTGGGGTCACCCGGCGTCCCCGCGCGCGGCCATGGCAAGGCCGCAGCCTTGCGGGCCCCAGCAAGCCAGGTGCGGCTCGCCGTCGCTGCCCGAGCGGCCGCTGCAGGTGAAGGTGGTGGGGCTCTTCAGCTGCCCCAACTTTCAGATTGCGAAGAGCGCCGCTGAGGTAACCACAGAGAAACCTCTGTCGCGGGCCGCCCTCCGCGCTCCCGGCTCTCGGCGGCGTGGACTGCAGGCGCGACGCCTCCTCGAGGCGGCAGGGGTCGAGACCCCACCGGTCGAGGAAGGGGCTGGCGTGTCCTAGCCGGGCGGGCTCCGTCTGGAGGACCGGGAGGAGCGTATAGGGGAGCAAGTGCGGGTCCGGGGGCTGGCGTTCGACTTTGCGACGAGATCTGAGCGAAGGAAGGGTTCAGAACCGTTCTGGGAAATAAGGAAATCCCCTCCGAGGCGCGCGCACACATACACACACACCCCCACACCCTGCGGATTTCGTTCTACGTCAATTTTTTATTTAGTTATAGATTTTAAAATTCATGGAAAAATGATTACTATATAACTAGCTGATTTTTACAACCCCCCCGCCCCCGAAGGCCCGCCAAGCGATTTTTGTATACTATTCATTCGGGGAGGTTCTTTTCTTTGAATTTTATAGACCCGTCACTGCGTTCCTATCGAACTAGATGCTTCACAAGTGCTTTGGAAAATCATTTGTTTGTAAACACTCAGAACGATATTAAAGGAAAAGCACTTGAGGAAACTGGAAGAATTTGGCCAGATCAGTTATGATGCAGCACACTTACAACCTGAAATGCCAGGAGAAATGTATGAAATGTCGGCATGTAGAATTCAGCCCTTCTTACAGGGTTTGCTCCAGAAATGTCCATGGCAGACTTCTCGCCGAACCTCACTTGACTCCAGGACCATGCCTTAGTTAATGTTTTTAACTCCCGAAGTACCCAGCTGGATACTTGACAACAAAATGTTTCCAAATAGAAGACAAAGTCTTGGGTGCGGTGACTCACGCCTCTACTCTCAGCACTTTGGGAGGCAGAGGCAGAGTTCTAGACCAGCCTGGCCAACATGGTGAAACCCCGTTTCTACTAAAAATACAAAAAATTAGCCGGGCGTGGTGGCGGTCGTCTGTAATACCAGCTACTTAGGAGGCTGAGGCACAAGAATCCCTTGAACCCGGGAGGCGGAGTTTGCAATGAGCTGAGATCACACCATTGCACTCCAGCCTGGGCAACAGAGCCAGACCCGTCTCAAAATAAATAAATAAATAATAAAAAGAAAACAAATGATCAGAAGTCTGTGAAAATAATACATGAATCATCAAAAGTAGAAATTATGGTCTGTGTTGCTTGGGCAGACGGGATCAGCAACCTTTTATTACCAAAGTTAATGGCCATAAAGCTAATTACAAAGTTAATGTATTTAATGAGTTTCGGGGATTTCTTTTTTTTCTCGTTTGTTTTTTTTTTTTTCGCTTTTTTTCTGAAGGCACATATTTTCTGTGCCTACTCCACATTGTAAAGAAACTGTTGGCAAGTTTTTTTCTGTAAAGTCCAGATAGTAAATATATTAGGCATTCTTGGCAATAGAGTCTCAGTCACACCTCTTTAGCTTTGTCCTGTGTTGCAAAAACAGACACAGAGATGGAAATAAATGACAGTATTCCACCAAAACCATATTATGGACACCGAATTTGACTTGTGTATAATTTTCACATAACATGAAATATGATTCTTTTGATTTTTTAAAACTGTTTACAGGCCGAGCATGGTGGCTCATGCCTGTAATTCCAGCGCTTTGGGAGGCTGAGGCAGGAGGATCACCAACTCAGGAGTTCAAGACCAGCCTGTCCAACATGGTGAAACCCCATCTCTACTAAAAGTACAAAAATTATCCAGGTGTGGTGGCAGGTACCTGTAATCCCAGCTACTCGGGAAGCTGAGGCTGGAGAATCGCTTGAACCCGGGAGGTGGAGGTTTCGGTGAGCTGAGATCACGCCACTGGGCAAGAAGAGTGAGACTCCGTCTTAAAAAAAAATACTGTTTACAAATCTAAAAATTATTCCTGTCCAACCCCTGTTGTAGAAGACACTAGGTCAAGAAAACAGTATCTTTATTATATTAATGTCAATTTCCCTTTCTTAAACTTTTACCTACTGTAGTTGTATTCAAATATGAAAATTCAGCTAGTTTTTTTTTCTTTTTTTGGAAGAGACAGGGGTCTCACTATGTTGCCTAGGCTGGTCTTGAACTCCTGGGCTCAAGCAATCCTCCTCAATATCCCGAAGTGCTGGGATTATAGGCATGGGCCACCACACCCAGCCTCTAGTTCTGTCTTAATAAAGGATATCTGAATATATTCCTAACATGATAATTTGTGAGTGATCCCAGATACCTGATTAACTGACAAAGATTTAGATTTGTGTTGGGAACACTCAGACATCACTACCCCATAAATATGTACAATTATTATATGTCAATTCAAAAATAAAAACAAAGTGTAAAAATCAAACACACAAAACATTGAGATTTGTAGAGAATAAGAATAAATATTGCATGTATTTTAATTTGGATATAGTCCGTTCTACAACAAATACTAAATTATCAAAAAGACATGATGTGTTTCATTTGAAAACTGTTGGATTTATAGTTTATTCCAGATGGTTAGAAATAGCAGTCAACCGGGCCGGGTGCGGTAGCTCATGCCTGTAATCCCAGCACTTTGGGAGGCTGAAGCAGGCAGATGGCCTGAGGTCAGGAGTTTGAGACCAGCCTGGCCAACATGGTGAAACCTCATCTCTACTAAAAATGCAAAAATTAGCTGGGCGTGGTGGCGGGCGCCTGTAATCTCAGCTACTCAGGAGGCGGAGGTAGAAGAATTACTTGAACCCAGGAGACAGAGGTTGCAATGAGCTGAGGTCACGCCACTGCCCTCCATCCTGGGCGACAGAGCAAGACTCCGTCTCAAAATATATATGTGTGTGTGTGTATATATATATATATATGTGTGTCAACTTGAAGTATTGCCTCAAACTGAGCACAGACACTGGAACTGAGAAACAGGACACGTCACCTGTTGCTTGGGGACAGAAGGGAATGGCCTGATTATCATTGCCGTCTTCGTGAGTATTGCCAAAGTGGGCCACACTCACATCCTGGTTTTCTCCCCTTGGAATACTCACTCCTGATGACCTGTGCTAGGCCAGCACCCTCTTTTGAACCATGACAGGGCCTCCAAGCACTGTCCCTAGCAGGGAAAGTGCCTCCTGCAGCAGCTGTCACTTTTCCCTTTGGTCCATCTACTTCCCAGACCCACTCAGAAAAGAAGCCTGTTACTGCCTCACCTGCCTTCTCTTGCTTTAGAGGGAGACAGACATCAAGAACCAAGCCTGGATTGCTGACCAGTAAGAATTTTCTCTGATTCCTACAGACAATCTATGTCAAACTAAAACATATTCAGTATCTAAACCTAAACTGATTTCGTACTTCTCTTTTTCCTAAGGGGTATAACCACAATGTTATTATCTTTTTGGTCATCCCCCATTCATCAGTGAATTAAAGCAAGAACTTCTGTTTATGTTATAAGTAAAGTGTCTGTAGATCCGCTGAGGTTTAGCAAGAGTTGTACTTTGGGAAAAACTAGTCCTAAAAGAACATAGCATATCACAAAGCTATTGGCATTAACCCATTTATGTATTCCTTTGTTTATTCAGCTGCTGTGTGCCAGAGGTTGTGGCAGGTGGGAATATAGGAAGACTAAGAGAAGAGTTTGTTTCTTTTGTTTGTTTTGTTTTGTTTTTGTTTTTTTTGAAATAGAATCCCACTCTGTTGCCCAGGCTGGAGTGCAGTGGCGTGATCTCGGCTCACTGTAACCTCTGTCTCCCAGGTTCAAGTGATTCTCTTGCCTCAGCCTCCCTAGTAGCTGGGATTACAGGTACACACCCACCATGCTTGGCTAATTTTTTTGTATTTTTAGTAGAGACAGAGTTTTGCCACACTGGCCAGGCTGGTCTCAATCTCCTGACCTCAGGTGATCTGCCAACCTCAGCCTCTCAAAGTGCTGGGATTACAGGTGTGAGCCACTGCGCCCAGCCTCTAAGACATAGTTCTTGGCTTCGAGGCACTTACACAAATAAGCTCCCAGGACTGGGGAGCAACTTGGAGGTGAGCACAAGGGCCTCTGAGAGTGAGCAAGGAATTTCTCAGTCAGACTGCATGGCCTGGGCGTGTGTTGTATAAAACTTCCAGAAACCCCGTAAACATTGGGGAACATGATATTGACTTTAAAAGAGAACTAACTCTAAAATAATTATTCTATTTTGAAATCCAGAATCTGAAGAATAATCATCCATCCAAATTTGAAGATCCTATATTAGTTCCTCTTCAAGAATTTGCATGGCAGCAATATCTACAGGAGAAAAAAAGGGTAAAGGATACTTGGGATGTGGGGGATGTAGACAACAAACCAAGTTTTGCCTGAATTATTTATGCATTGTTTTGGAAAAACTGAAAGAGTAATTTTAGTGTAACTAGATTTTATTTCTCTAAATTATGTACCTTTCCTAAATTATATTAATCATTTACCAAGCTAGGTTTTTTTGTTTTTGAGATAGGGTCTCACTCTGTTACCCAGGCTGGAGTGCAGTGGGGCGATCTTGGCTCACTGCAGCCTCAGCCTCCTGGATTCAAGTAATCCTCCTGCCTCAGCCCCGCAAGTAGCTGGGATTACAGGCACACACCACCACACCTGGGTAATTTTTGTATTTTTTTAAGAGATGGGGTTTCACCGTGTTGCCCAGGCTAGTCTCAAACTCCTGAGCTCAAGTGATCCACCCACCTCGGCCTCCCAAAGTGCTGGGATTACAAGGGTGAGTCATCGTGCTTGGCCACCAAGCTGTTTTTTCGTTTTTGTTTTTGTTTTTAACTACATCATTTGGACTGGGCGCAGTGGCCCACGCCTGTAATCCCAGCACTTTGAGAGGCCAAGGTGGGCAGATCATGAGGTCAGGAGATGAAGACCCATCCTGGCCAACATGGTGAAACCCTGTCTCTACTAAAAATACAAAAATTAGCTGGGCATGGTGGTGCACACCTATAATCCCAGCTACTTGGGAGGCTGAGGCAGGAGAATCACTTGAACCAAGAAGTCCGAGGTTGCAGCAAGCCAAGATCCTGCCACTGTATTCCAGCCTGGCGACAGAGTGAGACTCCATCTCAAAGAAAAAAAAAAAGTACAACATTTACAGAATTTTCCTTTGGAAAGCATGAGATAAAGGGAAGATCAATGGTGCCATTTGCTGCTGATGGTTAGTTACCCTGTCTCCCTGCACATCACTTACACCTCCTCTCACACCCTGGCACTCAGCAGGTTAACGTGGCCTGGCCCTCTTGGCCCTGAAACTCTGGAAGGTGTTGATGGTGTACCTCACAGAGACAGCCGGGGCTTCTGTGGGACTCTTGCCTAGGGAAGTTCTGATGACAGACACCGAGCTCCCACAGGGCAACCCTGTCCTAGTTGAAGCTTCCTTCTCTGCATTCTCCCCTCTATCTGTACCCTCAGAGAACTCCACACCTTAGGGCTAGCAGAGCTTGTCCAGGGATGATAGGTTTCCTCTTGGGTGACAACCTCATCAGTTGGTAGTGCTGCCTGGAGCATGTGATAAGAAGGATGCTAAGGTGGCATCCTGGCTTAGCAATATCTTGTGTTGGGGAGGGTGGGATGCTTGTCACCCCTGGTCTAGTCTTGTAGATGGTCCTAGTCCTAGTTTCCCTGCCCTACCCCCTCTCCCCCATGGCTGATGAAACCTCATTTCCCTTAACCAGAGCAGTTTCTATTGTTCTGTGCTGGGTTGCACAAGGATGTCCTGTGATCCTGTGATTATCATGGAGGCAGCGCGGCTTTATGAGACCACTTCATTCTCTGTTCAGTCACATGAACAGTGCAAGACTGAATAAGAATACCATTTGTTAAGCCTTACATGTTCATAGCCTTAAAAGATTTTCACTGGAATTCAAATAGAACCAAACACTTACACTGCTGCTTTTTATATGACAGACACTATTCCAGAGACACACACACACACACAGAGAGAGAGAGAGAGAGAGACACACACACACACATATATATATATTTTTTTCTTTTTTTGTAGAAACAGGGTCTCGCTATTTTGTCCAGGCTGGTCTCAAACTTCTGGCTTCAAGCAACCCACCTGCCTTGGCCTCCCAAAGTGTTGGGATTACAGTTGTGAGCCACTGTGCCCAGCTTATATACATAAATTATAATCCTTCCAACAACTCGGTGAGAAACAGTCCTGGTTTGCCTGGGATGGAGGGGTGTCCTAGGATGTGGGAATTTCAGTGCTAAAAGTAGGCTAGTCCTAGGCAGATCACAACTGTTGGTCACCCTAACATAAAACAATACTTTTTTTTTTTTTCTTTTTTATCAAACTTACCATGTGGCCTACCAGTGTCATGCTCTCCACCCACAGGAAAACTATGATCTCCTGGTTTGTGGTTTGCGCCCACTTGTCTTTTGAATTCCCACTGGACTCTAGGAAATTGGTGTAGATTCTATTCCCCAGTTTCTCTCCCCTTTCAGCCTGGGTTACCTCAAGATGTTTTGTGTTCTCTTCCTGCTGCCTCTCTCATGGGTCTTGAATGAGGCTTTCCAGTTCATCATTGCTGCTTTGTTCCACCTGTGATATTCCTTATCCTTCCTTTCATCCCCCTCCCTCCCTCCTCCTCTGGCTGTTTGTCACCTTAACCTTTTCTTCCTTCTCAGGGGCTCCCTTGTCCTTCATCAATGTAAGCATTGTGTCTTGTGTCTTAAGTAGTGCTTCTTAGCATATTTGGTCTCTCTGAACTCATTAGGTTCAACTGGCCTTAGGCTTCAGCAGAATGTAGTGCCACCCTAAGGGGATGGTTTCAGGGCCATTGGGAAGGTCCCTCTGCTGCAAAGAAGGCAGCCTCATACTCTTAGTGCTGAAGGCCCTAGAAACTATCGGGTCCATGCTGTTCACTTGAGGCAGGCGAGGACGCCTCTCTAAGTATGGAGGAGACAGAGGAAGGCATTTACATCTTTAGCCTCCAAATAAAACATACTTTCTACTGCATTTCTCCTACCAAGCTAGCTAAAATATTCATAGTGACATTTTTTTCTCCTGTTTAGAAAGTTTTGGGTCCTGGCAGAGTGTGGTGGCTCACGCCTGTAATCCCAACACTTTGGGAGGCCGAGGCGAGTGGATCACCTGAGGTCAGGAGTTTTAAGACCAGCCTGGCCAACATGGCGAAACCCCATCTCTACTAAAAATACAAAAATTAGCTGGGCATGGTGGCGGGTGCCTGTAATCCCAGCTACTCGGGAGGCTGAGGCAGGAGAATTGCTTGAATATAGGAAGTGGAGGTTGCAGTGAGCTGAGATCACGCCATTGCACTCCAGCCTGGGCGACAGAGCAAGACTCGGTCTCAAAAAAAAAAAAAGGAAAAAGAAAGAAAGTTTGGGGTCCTGTAAAATATGATAACACTGATAAATTTAAACACTACAGGAAGTATTGACCCACTGGCTCTATCAGTGATTTATAGTTCAGCATAGACAAGTCTCTTCTCTGCCTAGAAGCAGGTTTTGTTAAGGGCATAGGAAGCAAGCAATAGGATATTAAACCTCCAGAGGAGAATGAAGCAAGTTGGCAAGCTGAATGTAAACTGTTCCCCAAACTAGTATTTCTCCAATTGTAGTCTCTAGAGCAGCAGCACCAGCACCTCCTAGGAGGTTGTTAGACATGCACATTCTGGCGGGTTACAGTGGCTCACACCTGTAATCCCAACACTTTGGGAGGCTGAGGTGGGAGGATCTTGAGCCCAGGAATTCAGGACCGGCCTAGGCAATATAGTGAGACCCCATCTCCATAAAACAAATAAATAAATAAGTGCAAATTCTCAGGCACCATCCTAGAATCAGAGTATTGGGGGAAGGGGAGAGGAAACTCAAATTCTGTGATTCTGAGAATCTGAGATCAATGAGAATTTCAGATTCAGTGATTCTCATTGCCCACAAAAGTTTGAGCATAGCTGTTCCAAATTATTCATGGTTTGCCTAGCTGATACTGGGTAATAATAAACCAGATCTCCTCGGAGGGGGCATCCCTCAAGCCCACTGGAGATTTAGAAGGTTCACCATCAGCGTTGTGTTGATGAAAACGTTAATACGCTGCATTTTGAGGGGCTGAAGACGCAGTGCTAAGGAAGGTGAGTTTTTTTCCTCACTGCTCCTGATTGTGCCACAGAAATCCCTGTTGACCCTCATAAGTCATTTCCTAACCTTAAGCCCCACGTCACCCAAAAACCATTTTCACAGTCCTCTACATTGAACCCCACGTCTTACCTGGACCTCCTATCCTTTCCAAGTATGCACACAGTAAAATGTGCTTTAGGAATGAAGACAGAGACTGAATTTTGTTTGCAAGTTAATATAACAAGTATGCCAGGCTCACGATGATTTTTGTTACCAGATTACCATTTATCTTTCTATTAATGTGTCAACCTAAAAGGAAGAAGCTGAAACAAAATTAATATAGAGAGTTTATCTGGGCCAAGGTTGAGGACTGCAGCCCAGGACACATTTCCAAGTTGCCTTGGGAAGTGCTCCAGAGAACAAAATAGAGGCTCAAGTGTTTAAAGAAAAAAGAATGAATCAGAAGAGGGGGCGATTACAAAAGCTGTTGGTCAGGAATTGTCATTGATTTTCAGAAATAACATTGGTTAGCAATTGGCTGTATGTTGTTGAACTATAGGGTGGATGGCTTTTTATGGCTGTTTCGTGTCAGCCTAGAGCCCACATAGTAAGTGGAGGTAATTATTTAGCTCCAGGGGGAGTGAGAAATGACTGCTATTATATTTTAAATGCCTTTCTGGGCATGATCATTTAAAGGGGCTCACATTCCTCAGATAAATTTTTTTTTTCATTTGTAACATTTTTGTGATTACTTTTTAGATCATTCTTTGCTTTGTGATGTCAGATTCTTAAAAATGTTCTTAAATTATTTCTGAGAGCAAAATTCTAAAGGACGATAAAAATGTTTAAAAATTCTTTTTAAAAGATTCAATATTAGAGTTGACAAATTCAGACCTAGAGTTGATCCCAAGCTCTGGCTTATGGGTTTAGCAAGTTTCCCCCACTTCTTACTTTTTTTCTTTTTTTTTTGTCCTTTTCCCTTACAGGAACTCAAAAATGAAACCTGGGAATATTCCTCCTCTGTGATGTCTTTTGTTAATGGTCAGTTCCTGGGTGATGCATTGGGTCTACAGAAATGGGCCCACGAGGTGTGGGATATAGTTGACATTAAACCCTCTGCACTTTATGATGCACTCACTGAGGATTTTTCCACAAAATTCTTAAGAGATACCAAGGCAAGTTATACTAATTTTTAAAGAAAAGTCATGGAATCTTTGACCCTTTATATTGATTCAGCATTAATCATTGACATCCTAACGAAGGAGATTGTAAAAAAGTAGGAGACCAAGTTTAAAGCCTAGTTTCATTTCCATTTGCAAAAGATTATAATATGGTGGTATGTAAAGCAAGTGTGCCTCACAGCACCTGGGCTGCACAGGGAAATCGTCTCTGTGCAGGCATTTCTACTTCCCATTAGAGATTTATGTGCATGAATAACCTATTTTAAATACAAAGACCACCCCCTCAGACAAGGTAAAACCTATCATCCATTTATCTTGAGTGTGAAATATTTAAATTAAGACTGTCCAACATCTAGGCAAGAGCTACTGAGCTAAGACAATGGAAAGTTGATTGAAGAAAGGTGACATTTTAAAGCATGAACACAGGCTGGGTGCGGTATCTCATGCCTGTAATCCCAGCACTTTGGGAGGCCGAGGCAGGCGGATCACAAGGTCAAGAGATCAAGACCATCCTGGCCAACATGGTGAAATGCTGTCTCTACTAAAAATACAAAAATTAGCTGGGCGTGGTGGTGTGTGCCTGTAATCCCAGCTACTCGGGAGGCTGAGGCAGAAGAATCGCTTAAACCTGGGAGGTGGAGGTTGCAGTGAGCCGAGATCGCGCCACTGCACTCCAGCCTGGTGCAGAGCAAGACTCCATCTCAAAAAAAAAAAAAAAAAAAAAAAAAAGCATGAACACATAGTTGGCAAGAGCAACCCCAGACAGGCTGTGCCAGTGGGGAGGTTTCCAGTGGCAGAGGATAGTCATGAAGCTTGAGGTCCAGGGGTGAGAGAGAGCTATCAGGAAGCGATGGCAATAGGAGGGGAGGGACTTTGCAGTTCTGCTCAGAAACCTTCTGGTAGCAACATCTGCATTGTGCAGAAAATCATTTCATGCCCATGGCAGCCTGTGCCCACAGTGAACCAGTGCTAAGATCTGAGCTGTGCAAAGGCAAAGGCCTTGTCTCATTCATCCTTGTTGAACCACTGCTCAAACAGACCTGAAACATAATAGGTGCTCAGTGCATGTTTGATTGAATAAACAGTGCACTTTGAAAATACTGGAAACTCTGGGGTGTGGGGAGGCATTTAATGTTCAAACAGTTAATTCCCAAAGGGTCAGGAGTCTAGCAGTACATGCCCTGGGAATGGCAGGGGGACAGCAAGGAGGCCAGAATTTGTGGGGAATGAAGCTGGGAAGATGAGTTTCAGTCAAGATTCTTGGTGCCAGCATTACCAGACTCCTCTGATTGATTGAAGGTAAAAAGGTGTGTATTGAAAGGGTGCTGTTATCTCACAATTGACAGGAAAGCTGGACAACAGCTTTGGAAAACAGGTGGGAACCAACGAGGCCTGGCAGCAGGAAGACATGGCCAGAGTCACACTGCAGGGATGTGCTGCCAGGGAACTGCCATGGCACTGCTGGCCTTTGTTCACACCGCCACCTTCAACGAGATTAACTGTTCGATGCTTCATTGTCTTTCCATCACTCTCTGGAGACCCTAAGCCCAGGCAGGAGCACCTAGCTGGCAAGCCTAGGTCATATTTCCAAACCCTGGTGCTCTCAGCATGGGGAGAGGGAGAATCTGGCCTCTTTAGGGTCTAGTGAAGGTGGTGGGACCCTGTGAGGAGTTCCCCAGATAGGAAGGGTACTCAGATTTTAATTAGGAAAAAAAATCCAATAGATCCTAAAGAAAATTTGAGGCTGGATTATGATTTATTGTCCATCTGAACGGAGTTAGATTTTATCCACAAGGAAACAGAACTTTATGGAAACAGAACTTTCCATAAAGAGTATGATATAATCCTCTTTGCTCTTCTGGAGAAATGTTTAGGTCTGTGCAGATGCAGGCTGGAGTAGGGGAGAGCTTGGGAGCAGGAGATTGGATAGCAACATGGGTTAGACTTAATGAAAGCCAGAAATAATTCATGGCAGTGAGGATAAAGGATAGTCATGAAGCATTCCAGAGACAATCCTTAGATTTTTTCACATAGAGAGTGGACTTTTGTTGCTGAATAAAACCCAGGATTTGTTTACTTCCAGTTAGAACCATGTGGTAGATAAACATGCTTGCCTGTTTGGCTGCTAGGTGACTGGGACATTACCTTGCGTTGCATTCATTTGAACTCTTTTATTGGCGTTCTCAGGATTATCTATTCTGGACTACCTCATAAAGATAGCATCTTGATGCACGGGGAAGTTTAGTGGTGCCTGAATGGACTGTAAGTCCGTTTCCTAAGTCAACCACGAGTTCCAATATATCCTCTTTATCCTCCTGAGCCTCTGAAGTTTAATATATTATGCCTCCTACTCTTTAGTTACACTGTTCTGTTTTATACTTAAAAACTTGTAGTACAGAAGCTGAGAGGCACAAATTAATTCTAATTAGTATGGATGGAACATTTCATTGCTAGATGCCAGATAGCACAATATTATTTCAGTCTTTTCATTAAAAGAAAAGTTAGAGTGACATGAAAAATATGATATATTTAATTTCATTTGTTTCCTAAATTCTTAAGAAAGAGGACAGGACAAGTTATGCACCTTGCTCAATAAGGTGGCTTTTTTTTTTTTTTTTTTTTGATAGGGTCTCCCTCTGTTGCCCAGGCTGGAGTGCAGTGGCACAATCATAGCTCACTGCAGCCTCAACCTCCCTGGGCTCAGGTGACCCTATTGCCTTAGCCTCCCAAGTAGCTGGGACTACAGACACATGCCACCATGCCCAGCTAATTTCTTAATTGTTTTGTAAAGACGGAGTCTCCCCATGTTGCCCAGGCTGATTTCAAACTCCTGGGCTCAAGCGAGCCACCTACCTTGGCCTTCTAAAGTGCTGGGATGACAGGCATGAGCCAAGGTGGCATTTTAATGTAGGAGATTGGTGCCCAAGATTTGAAATGTACTCCATTAAATGTGCTTTGGCCCCTAAATGAATGCTATTGTGTTGAAACTAGCATTTTCATTTTGAATGCCTCTTTATAGGGCTAGACAAGGTCTCACAGATGTTTTTCTCTACCAGAAAGGATATCAAGTGAAGACAAGCTGGGGGCATCTGTGCACGTGAGGGTATTACTGTATGTAACTTGAAAGCCCAGCATCCTTCTCTTCCCTATCTCTGGTGCTACACCTGCTGTGGATGTAGGGACCTGATTTTCCCACTCAGAACAGATGTGGCCTGGCTCTGGTTAGCTCTGGTTAGAGCTAATCTGTGCTGTCTCTGAAAATCCAGGATGCACAGTAACCAAATCCATGGTGTTCATGATGGATCCTTCCCAAAAATATTCAGGAAAGAAGAGAAGTAGAGAAGAATCCCTGGGCTGTTTTCTTCCCCACACTAGGTGTGGCTATTTCCACACCTAGTTGTAATGTGGTAGATAGCTTGGCCATGTGTTTCACCCCTATGAGATAGGTTAATGTTTTCCAGAACTTTCACTACTGAACGGTTTTAAAAATGTGTAGTGTTGGGTAGGTGTGGCGGTGGCTCATGCCTGTAATTCCAGCACTTTGGGAGGTCAAGGTAGGCGATCCCTTGAGCTCAGGAGTTCGAGACCAGCCTGGGCAACGTGGTGAAATCCCAGCTCAACCAAAAATACAAAAATTAGCTAGGCCTGGTAGTGGTGCATGTGTGTAGTTCCAGCTACTTGGGAGGCTGAGGTGGGAGGATCACTTGAGCCCAGGAGGTTGAGGCTGCAATGAGCTGAGATGGTACCACTGCACCCCAGCCTGGGGGCAGAGCCAGACCCTGTCTCAAAAATAAATAAATAAATACAATAGTAAAAATTAAAATGTGTAAAGTGGGTTGTAAAAACTCAATAAAATGAAATAAACTAATACAAGTCATTCACTTAATTTTACTGTAATATTATCCAATGGTAATGTTATTGAAATCTTATCACTAAAAATATTGCATCTGCTATATTTTTGGTCATTTCTAAAAACTTTTATAAGACTTTGACCTTCATTATATGTTTCTTCTTACTCTTCACAGCATGATTTTGTGTTTTTAGACATTTGTATTGATTCTTCTCCAATTGGAAGATTGATTTTTGAGGTAAGACTTTTTTTTTTTTTTAATAAGTTTGTGGGGGTAGGATCTATAACTGTTGGAGTGTTAAATATTTAATCTTTGAAACCTTTTGTCTTTATTTTGTAGCTATACTGTGATGTATGTCCCAAAACATGTAAAAATTTTCAGGTCTTGTGCACAGGAAAAGCAGGGTTTTCTCAACGTGGCATAAGACTACATTACAAAGATTCCATTTTTCATCGAATAGTACGGAATGGCTGGATACAAGGAGGGGGTAAGTTTAAAATGTTAAATACAACTTAATTGCAATATCAAATGAGAAGGTCCAGACTTTCGTTTATCTTTATGAAATGTATGTAGAATTAGATATACTTAAAATTAGACATATTTAAAGAATAATTATGCTTTATATAGCCAAATAATGAAGTAAGATATTTGTATTCTTTAAAAAACACTCTAATTATTAAAATAAGCAAATCTAATTTATGTTACCAGGAATATTCCAAATTCAAAAATGACATAAGAGAGTAGGGTGACATTGTATTTTACCAATTTTATTTTCACCAATTTTAAATGCTTACCTAAATACATAATACCTAGAAGTACAGTGGTTTTAATAAGTATACTAAGAGTGGGAATTTGAAAATATAATAAATGGAAAACAACTTGTTTCTCACCAAACATGTTACATTATTACATGTAAAAAGTAATGTCTAGGCCGGGCGCGGTGGCTCACGCCTGTAATCCCAGCACTTTGGGAGGCGGAGGCGGGCGGATCACAAGGTCAGGAGATCGAGACCACGGTGAAACCCCGTCTCTACTAAAAATACAAAAAATTAGCCAGGCGCGGTGGCGGGCGCCTGTAGTCCCAGCTACTCAGGAGGCTGAGCTAGGAGAATGGTGTGAACCCGGGAGGCGGAGCTTGCAGTGAGCCCAGATTGTGCCACTGCACTCCAGCCTGGGCGACCGAGCGAGACTCTGTCTCAAAAAAAAAAAAAAAAAAAGTAATGTCTAAAGGAGTTTGGTTTCTATGTTCGCTTTCTTTTCAGGTCAGTCCTTTGGTTTTACATAGACTAGGTGTCTGATTAAAAGCATGGAATTAAATTTTGGGTGCCTTTTGGGGGATATTCCATAGGGAGCAACCAGGCAGCAATTTACAAATAATTGGCTTAGTGTCAAAGGAGATTTGCTTGAACTCGATGACACATTGAGAAGCTTAAATTGGTGTTGACCATTTTTTGTATGATCTGGAACATTCTGATGCTGATGAGGAGAAAAACAGAGATATATTCTGAGCATCCTGCATGTTAAATCAAGTTATTTTCCCTTTGGTTTCTCCACAATGAGATCATACCGCAAGTATTGTTATCTAACCTCACTTTCAAGTGTTTTTCCATTTTGTGTCTTTCCACTGAATATGTGGTATCGATCTAACTATGCCAATGAACATAAACATACAAAACGTTTAGCGTCTGCCTAGGTTTTTTTTTTTTTTTTTATCATATTGCTATACCAGTTCAATTAATTTCCCATTGGTGAACATTTAGATGGTTTTCCATTTTTTGTTAGTATAAAACATTTCTCAAGGGGGCCCGTTAATATTAGGGGCTCCTGACACTGAGTTCAGTGTTGACTCTCATGTGCTAGGCTTTCAGATGCTGTGTTCTTTTTTTTTTTTTTTTGAGACGGAGTCTCACTCTGTCGCCCAGGCTGTAGTGCAGTGGCACGATCTCGGCTCACTTCAAGCTCCACCTCCCGGATTCAAGCAGTTCTCCCTGCCTCAGCCTCCCTAGTAGCCGGGATTACAGGGGCCCACCCCCACACTCGGCTAATTTTTCTATTTTTTTAGTAGAGACAGATTTTGCCATGTTGGTCAGGCTGGTCTTGAACTCCTGACCTCAGGTGATCCGCCCGCCTCAGCCTCCCAAAGTGCTGAGATTACAGGCATGAGCCACCACACCCAGCCTCAGATGCTGCGTTCTTTTGTTTCGTTTTATTTTTGTTTTTGCTTAGCTCCCACCACCCTTGCAAGATCTGGGAAAAGTAGGTCGTATTATTTGTTTGTGTTTTTATTTATTTAAAGTAAAATTTCCAAATAGTAAAGTGCCCAGGTCTTGGGTCATGTTTTCAAACAGTGAGGCAGCAATGTTAAGGATGGCTTAGGAAAAAGTGGGATTGCTAGATTCAAAGCCAAGCTCTGATTCATGTAAGTTATACCATCTTGGATATGCCACTGAACCTCTCTGAATCAGTTGCTTAATCATCAAATGGGGATAATGATAAGAATATCACAGGATGTGGTGAGGATTCAATGACCTGGTGTGTTGAAAGTGCCAAGCTCTGGAAACATCCTCTCTCCCTACAGATGTCCAGTTTCCACGATCCAGACCCCAAGAGAGGGTTCCTGAATCTCTCACAAGAAAGAATTCAGGGCGAGTTTGTTGAGTAAAGTGTGAGTAAGTTTATTAGGAAAGTAAAGGAACAGAAGAATGGCTACTCTGAAGGCACAGCAGCCCCCGAGGTCTGCTGGTTGCCCAGTTTTGTGGCTATTTTTTGATTATATGCTAAAGGTGGATTATTCATGCTTCCTTTTTTGAGACCATGTAGGGTAACTTCCTGACATTGCCATGGCATTTTTAAACTGTCATGGCACTAATGGGAGTATATCAGTGAGGACGACCAGAGGTCACTCTCATCGCCATCTTGGTTTTGGTGGGTTTTAGCTGGCTTCTTTACTGCAGCCTGTTTTATCAGAAGGTCTTTATGACCTGTATCTTGTGCCGACCTCCTATCTAATCCTGTGACTCAGAATGCAATAACCATCTGGGAATGCAGCCCAGTAGGTCTCAGCCTCATTTTACCCAGCTCCTATTCAAGATGAAGTTGCTCTGGTTCACATGCCTTTGATACCACGGGACTATGTAGAATGTTGGAGGGCAGGAGCTAAATGTGGTTTTGTGCTGTGCTTTAGGATGCCTCCAGGCACTGTTGCTTGCCCTTTGGGACTAACAGGCTCTACCCAGTGGACACTGCCTGTCCCTTCTCCCCACAACTTATCTTCTGACGTCTTACACACTCTGTTGCACACACGGGCTCTGGCTGCCGCCTAAGCACATCAAGCATACATGGGCCCTGAGGCCTCGTTTATTTTGCCTGGGGCACACATCACCCAACCTGTTCCTGCAGGTATCCCTTGTTTCTGATTATTGCCCAGAGTTTATCTCAGCAAGGCCTTACCGTCCCATCCTATATGAAACTGCCATCTTTCTCTCCACACACTCTGCTCACCCCTCCTTCCACCCTCCTACTCCTTACCTTGCTTTATCTTTCTTCCTAGCACTTTTCATCATTAGACATACTACCATATGTTTCTGAGTTCATTTGTTTATTGTCTGTTCCTCTAAATTCCATGGGGGCAGAAATTTTTATCTATTTTATTCACTATGGTATCCCAGGTACTACAACAGTGTTTGAGATATAGTAGGTGCTTAATAAATACTTGTAGAAAGAAAAGAAGGAAGAAAGACAGAGAAAGAAGGAAAATAGATGGTTAAACAGGAAACATACATTCTCTGCATTTTGAAAGTCCAAAGTTAAGATAGCAAGTCGTTCTACCACTTTGGTTGGATTCTCCCTTGGGCTCCCTCGAGGCCTACTTCCTTCAGAAGGATTAAAAAAGTCGGCCCGGCGCGGTGGCTCGCGCCTGTAATTTGGGAGCACTTTGGGAGGCCGAGGCGGGCGGATCACGAGGTCAGGAGATCAAGACCATCCTGGCTAACATGGTGAAACCCCATCTCTACTAAAAATACAAAAAATCAGCCGGGCGTGGTGGCGGGTGCCTGTAGTCCCAGCTACTCGGGAGACTGAGGCAGGAGAATGGCGTGAACCTGGGAGGCGGAGCTTGCAGTGAGCCGAGATTGCACCACTGTACTCCAGCCTGGGTGACAGAGCGAGACTCCATCTCAAAAAAAAAAAAAAAAAATCAACACCAACTCTTTGTTAATCAAAGAAAATGAAACAAACTCTTTTACACAAAAATGATCATGTTTTACATAAGACTAAAAGATATATATATAAAATGGGCGAGGATGTAAGAAAATTCAAGCACTTAACAAAGATTCATTTTTCAATAGCCCATTAGTCACAGAACAATTACCCAACTATTAACAATTAAACCTACCTATATATTAGAAATACATTTCATTTCACCCATACATCCAACACACTTTAAAATGGATAGAGGAAAATTTTATTAACTGGCTTTAGAAAAAAAAAAGTACCTATTGAACTCATATATTATATTATTATTATTATGTTGAGACAGAGTCGCGCTTTGTCATCCAGGTTGGATTACATGGCACCATCTCAGCTCACTGCAACCTCCACCTCTGGGGTTCAAGTGATCCTCCTGCCTCAGCCTCCCAAGTAGCAGGGATATAGGCAAGCTCCACCATGCCCAGCTAACTTTTTGTATTTTTAGTAGAGATGGGGTTTCACCATTTTGGCCAGACTGGTCTTGAACTCCCAACCTCACGTGATCTGCCCACCTCGGCCTCCCAAAGTGCTGGGATTACAGGCGTGAGCCACCGTGCCCGGCTGAACTCATGTATTATTGCTTAAAGAAAACATACCGAATTCTTACCTCAGCTTTCCCTTGTAAAAAAAAGTGGAAATCCATAGTCTAGAGATTCTCTTTAAGAATGAGCGTTGCTATGGTGTGAGTTGGCTGAAGGTAAAGAGATATGAATGAAAGTAGTAAAAACAAATAAAAACAGAATGAGCTGCTTTGATAAGCGCAATATGTTTATAACTCATAAAACATTTCATTCATGTTGGGAATTTTCTCGAGCATTACAAAATAATTAATATGCTTCAGGCTTTCCATTTGACTTACATCTATAGGATTTCTTTCCAGTACGAGTTTTCACACGACTTTTAAATTAATTGTCTAAATGAACTTTTCTGTGTTTTTCCAACTACTAGGGTTCTAATCAAGTATGTGTTTTTATATTTATAAGGTCCACCTCCAGTGTGTATTATTATGTGACTTTGAATGGATTCGAGAGAAATGAAGGTATTCCCACATTCTTTTTTTTGAGACAGGGTCTTGTTCTGTTGCTCAGGCTGAGAGCAGTGGCACAATCACAGCTCACTGCAGCCTCAACCTCCCGGACTCAAGTGATCTTCCCACCTCAGCCTCCCAAGTAGCTGGAATTACAGGCACACATTACCATGCCTGGCAAATTAAAAAAATTTTTTTGTAAAGAGAGGGTCTCTCTATGTTGCCCAGGCTGGTCCTGAACTCCTGGACTCAAAGACTCAATCCTCTTGCCTCAGCCCTACCAAAGTGTTGGGAATATAGGCATGGGTCTTAGCCTATCACCCAGGCTCTAATGCAATGGCATGATCATAGGTCTCACTGCAGCCTTGAACTCCTCCCACTTCAGCCTCTCAAGTAGCAGGGATTACCAGCACATGCCGCCATGACCAGCTAAGTTTTAAAAATTTCTGTAGGCTGAGCACGGTGGCTCACGCTTGTAATTCCAGCACTTTGGGAGGCCAAGGCAGGTGGATCATGAGGTCAGGAGTTTGAGACCAGCCTGGCCAATATGGTGAAGCCCCATCTCTACTAAAAATACAAAAATTAGCTGGGCGTGGTGGCACGTGCCTATAGTCCTAGCTGCTCAGGAGGCTGAGGCAGGAGAATTGGTTGAACCCGAGTGGCGGAGGTTGCAGTGAGCCAAGATGGTGCCATTGCACTCCAGCCTGGGCAACAGATCAAGACTCTGTCTCGAAAAAAAAAATTTGTAGAGACAGGGTCTCACTATATTGCCCAGGCTGGTCTTGAACTCCTGGCCTCAAGCAACCCTCCCACCTCGGCCTCCCAAACTGCTGGGATTACAGGCATGAGCCACCGTACCTGGCCACATTCTGTGCATTCAGAGCTCTTCTCCAGAATGAGTTGTTTTATATCATCAAATAGAACTAGAACACCAAAGGCCCTTACCACATTTCCTCTATTCATAAGACATTTCTTCAGTGTGAGTTCAGAAGGATCTTTTGAGATAAATTTAATGCATTTTATTATCATCATCATCATATTGAGCAGAATGATGAAGATGATGATAATGAGAGGGGGCATTCTAGAAGCATGTGATGCTACATGGGCATGACATTCTGCCAGGCACTGCCCAAGTGCTCTACCTGTGTTATTTCATTTCATCCTCAGAGCTACCTGTGAGGCAGTTACCATTATCCCTGTTTATACAGATAAGCAAACAGTCTTGGAAAAAGTAACCAACATCAACATTTTCATCAAAATCATCTGACTTTAAAGTTTGCTTAAACCAGTATTCGGCACTCTGAATTTGTTGTCAGAAGTATAGCAGTAATATCAGATATACAGGGCTGAATTCAAGAGGGTGGACTGTGGCCACAAAAAAAGAATAGTAAATACAGATTGAAATGGTGTCAATATAAAATATTCACCTATGAGATCTGAAGCAGAGGACAAGAGTAATGTTGGTGAGTGTGGGAGGGAGGGGGTAAAGGAATGTGACCAATGGGTAGGTAAGTTGGCAGGGGAGAAGACCACCTGGGCGGAGTTCCCTGAGAGAACCAACCCCTAGGATCTGAAGGAATTGATGAGGGGGGGCCCTCAGCTTCCCCATTTCCAGATTTAGCCTTCAGCCATGACAGCTTCCTTTCGAGAGTTGCCTGGGGCTGTGTAGTGAACTGTGGCTGAGTGTTAGGTGAGTCAGGGTGGAGACTTAATAAGGCTTATCAATTAACTTCTGAGCCAGCTTTTGAAATAGTATAATTTAAATGCTGCATGGCCTTTCTGGGATAAATTCTTTTTACATGCTTGATGTTGCATCAGTTTTCTTTGAAAAATAGCACACACACTTTTATTCTAGGTAAATTGCTCATACTGACTTTAAAAAGCGTAGTCCTTCAATAAACATTTATTGAGCACTGTATTAAAGGAGGGAGCGGAGTAGAGCTGAAGTTCGTAGAGAGATACTGATGGGGAGGATGGGGGAGAGAGGACAGACCTCAGAGCCCACTCTTAGCTTTGCTCCTCTTTTAGCTGTGGATAGATAAAAAATAAGTTGTTCATGGAGTCTTTTTATAGTGGGAGCATTGTCTAAACCAAAATATGCATAGCATGTGAACACCTGAAAAAATACTTGTTACATTATAGGAAACTTTATTTCCAATACACTAGGTAAATAAATGAGTTATCACTACAGGATATGAAATTTTAAACATGAATTCTGTTTACAGCACGTATTTTTTATTCATATTCTTTTTCTTTTTTTCTTTTTTTTGAGATGGAGTCTTGCTCTGTCACCCGAGCTGGAGTGCAGTGGCGCGATCTTGGCTCACTGCAAGCTGCACCTCCTGGGTTTAAGCGATTCTCCTGCCTCAGCCTCCCAAGTAGCTGGGATTACAGGCACCAGCCACCACACCCAGCTAATTTTTGTATTTTTGGTAGAGACAGGTTTCACCATGTTGGCCAGGCTGGTCTCAAACTCCTGGCCTCAAGTGATTTGCCTGCTTAGGCCTCCCAAAATGCTGGGATTACAGGTGTGAGTCGCCACGCCTGGTTCCATTTTTTATACATATTCTAAAAATAACTTACTTTTCCTGTTTTAGCCTCTTAGTTTAATCTTAATTTCAGAAAAGCACGATGGACTGTGGAATAATTTATGAAGTAAGCAGGATTTATGTGAACATACTTTTGAAAAATTGTGACCACAATTATAATTTAATGCTTCATCCTTTCAAAAGTTTGCATTATGAATGTAAAAGTGCTTACAAAATACAAGTGAAATTATTATAGTAATTTTTTGTAGTATGGATATTGAACAATTAGGTAACTTTATTCATTGGTATAAGTGGAATCATATTGTATTCTTTTTTTTTTTTTTTTTTTTGAGATGGAGTTTCACTCTTGTTGCTCAGGCTGGAGTGCAACGGCGCAATCTCGGCTCACTGCAACCTCCGCCTCCTGAGTTCAAGCAATTCTCCTGTATCAGCCTCCCTAGTAGCTGGGATTACAGGCACATGCCACCATGCCCAGCTAATTTTTGTATTTTTAGTAGAGACGGGGTTTCACTGTGTTGGCCAGGCTGGTTTTGAACTCCTGGCCTCAGGTGATCTGCCTACCTCGGCTTCCCAAAGTGCTGGGATTATAGGCATGAGCTACCATACCTGGCTGATTCCTTTTTTTTTTTTTTTTTTTAATGGAGATAGAGTCTCATTATGTTGCTCAGGCTGGTCTCAAACTCCTGGGCTCCAGTGATCATCCCACCTCAGCCTTGGAATCATCATTTAAAGCAACATTTTTTCCCTGTCATTACTGCATCCTAAATCTTTTCATCTCAAAATTCTAATGTTTATTTATTGCTATTTCTCAGATATAGTGTATGGAAAAGGAGATAATGGAGAGTCGATTTATGGACCAACATTTGAAGGTATGTATCTTTACATTTTGTTAGTTATATATTAGTTGATTATTCAAACTTAACAGGACTGGACAGTTTCACGATTCCAGATAAGATATCACTGGGGGCAATACTTAACAGTAAAAGCAAGAGTTAAAAATGAGCAGATTGGGGGGAAGCACCCTAAGGCCCGACCAGAGCAGCTTCATATGCACATATTTTTTTCACTTAGCTAATGATATTATTTCTTCAGGATAAATCCCAGAATTAGGATTGTAGCGTCAAAGGGAATTTATATTTTTAGGACTTGTAATTTTCCGTGCTGATACTTAGAACTGGTACCTTGATAATCATTCTATTTAGATTGCTGTCAGGTAGCCAGGTATTGTGACTCACGCCTATAATCCCAGCACTTTGGGAGGCTGAGGTGGGCGGATCATTTGAGGTCAGGAGTTCGAGATCAGCCTGGCTAACATGGTGAAACTCCATCTCTACTAAAAATACAAAAATTAGCCAGGCGTGATGGCGCACGCCTCCCAGCTCCTCAGGAGGCTGAGGCAGGAGAATCACTTGAACCTGGAACACAGAGGTTGCAGTGAGCTGAGATGGTGCCACTGCACTCTAGCCTGGGCGACAGAGTGAGACTCAGTCTCGAAAAAAAAAGAAAAGATTGCTGTCGGTAGAAAAATCCTGTATAACATTTACAACAAAAGTAGGTGACAAGGAATCTACCTAAATTCCAAAATACAAACAGGTAAAGACAAACAACAAACCAACAGTATGGAAGACGGCAGGGCTTCCCAAGAATAGGGCACTTAGGATCCCCTAAGTAGCCAATAGTGTGTGAGTACAAGGGTCCCCCAGGAAGGTTGGAAGAGGCAGGAGCAGTCTAACCGCTGTACACTCTCAAAACTGATCTGACAAGGCTCTCTTCTAGGACAGTCTCCCATGCAGGTGGAACTGCTGGGAATGGCATCAAAATTAATCAGGATACAGGGACAATCATGACAAAGAGGGAATAGGAACAGAGCCAGAAATTTAAGGAAGAAAGCCACATGCTTCAACATGCAAGATTTTCAACATGCAAGAGGGAGCCTTTTGAAACTAGAAAATCTACGTTCTTTCTAAAGACATATCCTCTGACATTTAGAAAAACTAATGTCACCCTATATAACAAAGAGAGGTTCTCTGAAAGAAAATGATGTTTCTTCAGGAATAGGGCATTGCAGTAGGCATACGTGTGCCGTAGGAAACAATGTGCATATTCAGGAAGGTAAAGGGAGAGAAAGGGTTTTAAAGGAAAATTGGGGAAGATTTCATTATTGTTTTGAAATGATTATCCTTGGCTACAGCGATCAGTAACAAGGGTCCAAGGTTGGACTGGACAGGTGTCCCTGCAAAAGTATTAATATTTCCTGCATAAGGTTGCAATGGCCTTTATGCAAGGTTGTGGCTTTTGTAGTTCTTTGTGATTGTTTTGTTATCAGGCATACAAGTGTGAGAGTTCTCTGTTCATAGCTTTCCTTGGCTCTATTTGTCAGCATTTTTTAAACACACATGAGTACATTTTGATTCTGACCACTATTACGCTAATTTTATATTAAAATGAACAATGGAAGTTTCAAGGTGATTATAAGAATAAAGAGAATAAGGAGCAGAGTAACATCAGCACTGATAATGAATGTACCCTAGAAAGATATGCTCATAGGATACAGTCGACCCTGGAGCAACATGGATTTGAACTATACGAGTCCACTTAAAGAAACTTACAGTTTCTTTAAAAAAAAAAAAAAATAGAGACAGGGTCTCACTATGTTCCCCAAGCTGGACTTGAACTCCTGGGCTCAAGCAGTCTTCCCACCTTAGCCTCCTGAGTAGGTGGGACTGCTGCCTACTTGGACTACCACCTAGCTTGGCTTGTTTTCAATAAATATATGAGAGCATTTTTTGGAGAAGCTGCCACTGCAGCTATACCATCAGGTGTGAAAACCTTGCACTTTTTTGTGAAATACTTTTACCTTTTTTTTTTTTTTAAAGTGACAGTGTCTCACTTTGTTGTCCAGACTAAAGTGCATTGGAGTGATCATAGCTCATGGTAACATTAAACTCCTGAGCTCAAGGGATCTTCCTGCCTCAACCTCCCAGGTAACTAGGGCTACAGGTGCATGCCACCATGCTAGCTAATTTAAAAAAAAAAAATTTATAGAGATGGGGTCTTGCTCTGTTGTCCAAGCTGGTCTCCAACTCCTGGGCTCAAGTGGTCCTCCTGAGTTGGCCTCCTAAGTCATTGGGATTACAAGTGTGAGCCACCATGCCTAGCCTGCAAAATACCTTTTTTGTCTTGTATTGAAAATGCAGCTTTTATGTGGGCACAGGATGGCTATAAGAAAGGCAGAACTATAGACTCTACTATGATTTGAGAAAAAGCAAAGCTATTATATGACAACTTAAAACAAAAGGAAGGTAAAAGACCTAAAACTGGAGAATTTAATTCCAGCAAAAGATGGTTTGATAATTTTAGAAAAAAGTTTGGCTTTAAAAATGTCCAGATAACAGGAGAAGGAGCTTCTTCTGACCAAGAGGCAGAAGGTGAATTCCAAGATGTCTTTAACAAAATGAGAGGAAAAAGGATATCTACCTGAACAAGTTTTATGGCAGACAAAAGTGACCTATTCTGGAAAAAAAAAAAAAAGCCACCAAAAGGCCGGGCGTGGTGGCTCACACCTGAAATCCCAGCACTTTGGGAGGCTGAGGCGGGCGGATCACCTGAAGTCAGGAGTTCAAGACTGGCCTGGCCAACATGGTGAAACCCTGTCTCTACTGAAAATATAAAACGTAGCTGAGTGTGATGGCAGGTGCCTGTAATCCCAGCTACTTGGAAGGCTGAGGCAGGAGAATCGCTGAACTCAGGAGGCAAAGGTTGCAGTGAGCCGAGATTGCGCCATTGCACTTCAGCCTAGGAGAGAGAGTAAGACTCTTGTCTAAAAAAAAAAAAAAGCCACAAAAGACATTTATGAGTAAGAGAAGTAAGCACTAGCATTTAAGGCAGAAAGGAATAGGCTAACTGTACTGTTTTGGGCCAATGCAGTTGGGTTTATGATCCAGACTACCCCTAACCATAAAGCTGCTAACCTAAACACCCACTGCCAGCCTTTTGGTTGTACAAAAAGGGCTGGACAATGAGAACCCTTTTTCTAGATTGGTTCCATCAATACTCTTCTCCCTGAAGTTAGGAAGTACCTTGCCAGTAAGGGACTACCTTTTAAAAAGTTCTTTTGATATTGAATGATGATGCCCCTGGCCACCAGAACACCATGAGTTCAACACTGAAGGCATGAAAGTGGTCTACTCGCCCTCAAACACAACATGTCTAATTCAGCCTCTAGTTTGGGGGTCATAAGGACCTTTAAGGCTGATTACACATGATACTCTATGGAAAGGATTGTCAACATCATGGAAGAGAACCCCAATAGAGAGAACATCATGAAAGTCTGGAAGGATTATACCATTCAAGATGCCATTGTTGTTATAGAAAAAGTCATGAAAGCCATCAAGCTCAAAACAAGTTTCTGCTGGAGAAAATTGTGCCCAGATGTGCTTGTCTTCATGGGATTTATGACAGAGCCCATAAAGGAAATCATGAAAGAGATTTGTGGGTATGACAAAAAAGATGAGGGGTGAACATTGTCAAGATACGGATCTTGGAGAAATTCAGGGCCTAATATATACCACAACAGAGGCATTAAAAGATGATTTGATGGAGATGAGTGCCTCCGAACCAGTGCCAGATCATGAGGAAGAAGACATAGAAGAAGCAGTGTCAGGAAACAAATCGACACTAGACAATCTGGCGGAAGGGTTCCAGTTACTCAAGACTACTTTTGACTTCTTTTACAACATAGACCCTTTTATGATAAGAGCAATGAAACTAAAGCAAAGAGTGGAAGAAGGATTGATACTGTATGGAAACATTACTAGAGAAATGAAAAAGCAAAAAGTCAAACAGAAATTATAATGTATTTCCGTAAAGTTACACAGGTGTGCCTGCCTTTCCTGCCTCCCCTTCCACCTCATCCACCTCTGCCTCTGCCACCCCTGAGACAGCAAGACCAACTCCTTCTCTTCCTCCTCCTCAGCCTACTCAGTGTGACAAGGATGAAGACCGTTATGATGATCCACTTCCACTTAATGAATAGTAAATATATTTTCTCTTCCTTATGATTTTCTTTATAACATCTTATTTTCTTTAGCTTATTTTATTGTAAGGATACAGTATACAATACATATAGCACACCAAATATATGTAATCGACTGTTTATGTTACTGATAAGGCATCTAGTCCGTTGCAGACTATTAGTAGTTAAGTTACTGGGGAGTCAAAAGTTATATGTGGATTTTTGACTGCTCCAAGGGGTTGGTGTCCCTAACCCCCACATGGTTTAAGGGTCAACTGTAGATCAAAACTGTAACAGTCTATATCAAAATAAGCTAAAAGAAGCCTGGGCAACATGGCAAACCCTATCTCTACAAAAAATGCAAAAATTAGCTGGGCATAGTGGTGCACACCTGTAATCCCAGCTACTCAGGAGACTGAGGTGGGAAGATCGCTTGAGCCTGGGAGGCAGAGGCTGCAGTGAGCCAAGATTGCACCACTGCACTCCAGCCTGGGCAGCACAGTAAGACCTTGTCTCAAAAAAAAAAAAAAAAAAAAAAAAAAAGCTAAAAGACATTAAGAAAATGACACAAGACATGAAAGAGGTCATAAATCAGAATTAGAAAAACTTAAACATGATGTGACAGGGCTGAGGAAAGAAGGGCTGAGGAAAGCAATGAAAGAAAAATAATTTCAGAAGTGAGTAAACCACAAGGAACACAAGAGGAAATAAAAATACAACATAGTCCTAAAAGAAGTACAAGGTAGGCAGAGGAATTTTTTTTGTTTGCTTTAATTTTTGTGGGTACATAGTAGGTGTATATCTTTATGGGGTACTTGAGATATTTTGATACAGGCAAGCAATGCAAAATAATCA